CGCACCCTTCACTACTCCTCACACGCACCCTCGCCACCCTGTCTCGGGGGCCAACCTCCAGGCGCGGGTCCGGAGCTGCGGGAGGCATGGACAGACACAACAGGATCACCACACGCAGGCCCGAGAATGGTGTTTCTCTCTTTTATTTAAAAACAGTGCTTCATTACCATTTGCAAAGGCAGAGGCAGTGGCTCCTCCTTCGCTTAGAGTTTATAAAAGCCAGCAACATGATCAATAATTTATACACATGGATAGTAATACAAAAAAAGGAAGGAATAAAAGCTAAAGATCTAACTACTCCGACCTTCACAATTCCAGCTACTTGATGATAATAGGAGTAACCCAATGAATACTGTATGGTCTGAAAGCTACTATACATATGATTCTTAACGGGGTGGGGTGGGGGTCGGGGGGGGGGACACCGTCACAAAGCCCGGGTGCTTCTCTGGAGTTCGCAGGGAAACAGGACCCTGGCCAGCAGCTCGGGGGCGGGGGGGGGGGTCCTAGGAAGTGATTTGGGGCAGGGGGGATGGGGGAGTGGTGAGGGAGAAAAGGCGAGGTGGTCGATTATACAAGCATCCCAAGTGATGCCCCCATGCCCCAAAGGTACCTGTGTTGCCATGGCAATGGGGGGGGGGCGGAAAACTGCAGGTGCATGGCGGGAAGTTCGGGTTCCTGCCACGAGGCGTGGGGAGGAGGGAGAGAGGTTCGATGGCGTTTCAGCCTTGCAGAGATTTGGACTGAAGAGCTCAGAGACTCGGGTGAGGCGGTCTGTGTGTGTGGGGGGCACCCCCTCCGCCCCTCCATCTCCCCCCCCCACCACCCCTCCTCACCCTGCAGCCCTGGCTTACGTGGGTCAGCCCCAGGTTCGCTCCAGCTATTCACAAGCAGAATTCAAACACGAGAAAAAAAAATAATCAACAACAACAACAACAACATCAACAACAACCCCAAAACAGTTCATATCCTTTAGGGCAGGGGGGTGGGGGGGAGGAAAAAGAGAATCAATTCATCACTCGATATATAATACAGCCAAAACGAGCTGCCAAAAGCGCACACACACACCACACAAACACACACGCACGCGCTCACACGCACACACACACACACAAATACTGTGAACAGAAAAAAAAATATCAGAAAATGACTACGTTGGGAGTCTAGATGGGGTAGAGACATTGCTTAAAGCACTTATCAAGTCCCCGGAAAAAGCCAAACCAGAAAAAAAAAAATAGTTAGAAAAGAAAACTTCAAAAGTTCCAGTGCCCCTGGGACTCTGGTGTCGGTCACAGAGATGGGGGCAGAGGGAGGACCAGGGAACCCACGTTCCCTTGTCTGCTTGCCGGTGTGGGCGACACCCTCGCCACACGGCACCCTCAGAACCACGGGGGGTGGTCAGTTGTGGCCGGTGAGCGGTTCTCTCCGTTACCAATCCCTGCCAACCAGCACTACCATGGCTGAAGTGATCGACCGTTTTCCTGAGTAAACTGTAACTGGCTACAGTTCCGGTAACGTGGAGAACTCGGGCTGCTCCAGCCAACTGCGATACTTGAGGGTCCCTTCTCCCATCCCCCCACTCCCCCCCACTCCGGGTTCCTGATTCTGAGCGTGCGAGTTTAAGAACTGGGTCACTTGCTGGGGTCTGGTCCTTGGGCGTCATTGTCAAAGACAGGTGTCAGAGACTTGAACGCACTCATGACACTGGTAGGGGACAAGGTGGCCCAAGGGCCTTACCTCGTGCTCGAGTCCTGGATGGCTATATGGCCTGCTGGGTCAGGAAAGCAAGGATGAAAGGAAGTACGCAAGGACGGGGGAAGGGGAAAGAGAGGGCAGAGGCGTTTGGACAGGAACGCTTCCCAAAAAGAAAAGAAAAAGAAGAAAAAGAGACCTTTTTTTTTTGTTTGTTTGTGTGGTACGCAACCGAGAATCAAGTTTCACTGGTGTCCTACTACGAACAGCTTGAAGAGCCATGACGAAAGAAACACACACGAATTTTACGTTGGATGTGTTCACCTTGCCCACTATATGTCTTACCTATCTTAAAAACAGTGCAAACAGGTAACTTAAGCTTTGCAAACACCACTACCCCAAGCCCCACCCCAACCCCAAGTTCCCTTTCCTCCTATTATCTGGGGGAGAAAAAAATTAAAAAAAAAAAGTCTGCGATTCTGCTAATGGGACTGCGCTCGGCTGAGCACAGCAAAGCAGCGGTGAGAGGAGAGGGGGTGGGCAGCTGGCCGGAGGGTGTGGGCAACTGGCCCCGGGCCTCCTGCCCATCGGAGGGGGCTCCCTCGAGGGACTTTGCCCTCCTGCACGAGGAAAAGCAGAACCGCTAGGAGCCTTTGAGGAAAAGCTGCCGTCGTCATCGGTGATTTCAAGGAGATCACCCCTAGCTCCCCTTAAAACAGAGAGCTGGCCACCCCGCCCCTCCCTTTCCCTTCTTCTTCCAAAAAAATAAAATAAAAATAAAATAAAATAAAAAATACCAGTGGCTCAACTCCCTCCCGCGGTGAAGGCTGGGGCGCAGACAGAAGGGTGGTTCTGAGTAGGTTTTAGGAAAACCTGAGAGCCTTAGAGAGGATGAAGCTGTCGCCAGGGCTGGGCTGGGCCCACGGGAGACGGGCTGTGAGCACAAGGGATTCTGGCCAAGATGGAAGGGTGGCCGTCGAGGGTCCCGGGAGGAGGAGGAGGGGGGCGGCGGCGTGCGGGTCAGGGCAGCCCTGGAGGGCTCCTTGGAGGAAGTCCCGAGCATCCAGCTACAAAGAAGCTGCCCGGCTTCTGGGGCTCCGCGTTGCCACGTCTGGGGGAGCCGCCTGCCAGCGCCCTCTTCTGACTGGGGTCTGGGGTCCAAAGGGAAGTCAAGTCAGGAGCAGAGGACCCTGCAGCTTCGAGGAACCTGCCTCGGGGGTTGGGGGTGCTGCGCAGGGCATGCTCACAAGCTGACGTGTGCAGGCATCGAGGGCAAGGGGGGCAGGCTCTTGCAGAATTAATCCCAAGCCCAGTCTTGCAGGAAGCCTGAGGACACGGTGGGACAGACCCCCCCGCCCCCCCGGGAGGCTACGGAGCTGGCCGGGGCGCCCTCAGCCAGACCCAGCTGAACTGAGATGCGCACCGGGCAGTGTGCCCACTCTGGAGTGCAGGGGAAAAGAGAAAACCCTCTTCCCTCTCTCTCTCTCTCCCCACCCTCGACGGAAAACCACCTTTCAGGATCTGGCCTGGACTCAGCCGCCTAGCGAGTGGCTGCCACTTGGAACACGACACGAAGTGTCTTTCTCCGTTTCTTTAGTCAGGATAAAGCACTCCCTTGAAAAAGGAAAAAAAGAAAAAAAAAAAAGAGGGGAAAAAAAAGAGGGAAAAAAAATTCCCCCCCCTGCTCCCCAATTCCTTAGCCCCGTGAAAGCCCTGCAACCCGGGGTCCCTTCCGCTAACTAAAATAGCTATATACATACAACAAAAAAACGGTCTCAACAGCCACACACCCCGCTTTGGCTTGAGGAGGGGAGCCCTGACCCACACGGCCAGCGACCCGGGCAATCTGGTCCCCCCTCGATGCCAGCCTCCCTGGGATCAAGCAGAATTGCATCTGGCTTCCTGGACGCCCTCCCCCGGCCCTCAGGAAAGAGGCGTGGACCCCAGGGGGCGGGCGGGTCCCCCCACACCCCCCAGAGCCATCGCTCTGCGTACAAGGGGTCACTTGAATTCAGAGACACGAGTCGTGATCAGTCAAGAACACGAGTGGAGGTGGGGGGGGTGGGGGTCATTCAAAAAAACCCAACTCCAACCCCAAACCAAACCCCTACCAGAGCGGCAACGCCGTGCCCTGGCACAAACCCGGGAGCAGCATTGCTGGGGGTGAAAGGTCACCCGGTACCTACAGGGAGGCCAGGGGGGCCGCAGGGGTCTGTGCTCGCTCTGGTCGCTAATGCCCTCACCGTGGGGACGCGGCAGGTCCCTGGCTTTGGGCAGCCCCGGCTGACCACTAGCAGGGAAATCCTTCCTCCCCGACCTGGGCCCCGGCCCCCGGCGGCGGCGACCAGAGATTCTCGGCTGTTTCAGCGCCTCCTGCTAATGGGAGGGGAACAGTCTTGGGTGCGAGGCTGGGGGCCCGGAGGGTAGGTCCTGCGGTGTTTGGGGGGGTGCTCAGCGGAGTTATCTTTGGAGGGTCACGAGGAGCTGGGCGTTAACGGCCACGAGGGCTCGAGAGTGCGGGCAGAGAAGGGACTCGTAAAGGCTCTGGAAGATGAAGAATTCCTATGGCTTTGGAGCAAGTACAAAGTGCCTTTGCCCGCTCGTGGACGCCCACATCACCCAAACCCCCAGGGGCGGCAGGCGGAGGCCTTGCTGGACTCAGCTCACTTTGTACTGATTTTCTGTTTGCGAGAGAGACCAGGAATATCGCGAGCGGCTAGCCAAGAGACCGCCGGATGCCCCTGTTCTCCCCGTCCCCTCTGAGGCTCACAATCTGCCCTGGTAACCCCTGGGCTTAGCCCAGTCCCCCCGGGTGGGGGGTGGGGGGTTGGGGGCAATCTGCCTGCTGGCTATTATTCTTCGGTCCCTGGGTCCGAAAATCCTGAATTTTTGAGGACATGGGAGCAGGGTGTTTCTCGAAGGACAGATGCGCTCAACTGTGGTTCCGTGAAAAGCGAAAAAGTCTAAGCGGGAATTCCAAGAAAGCAAAAGGATGACCTACTGATTCCCTACGCCAGAGTTCATTCTGAGACCGCTTCCTAAGAGAGGGGCTCCCTGACCCACCGGGTTGAGAGCACGTTTGGAAACGCGAAGACTCTTGTTTCCACACGCTGGACCAACTGTCTCAGGCTGGGCCTGAAAGATGATTTGCAAAAAAAGCATGGAGAAGACGGGAGGAAGAGGAGAGAGTCCTTCTAGATCGTCTCCTGCTTTGATGTGGATTCCAGCCACAGCCAGTGAGAACCGCCTGCCAAAGACCAGAAACTCAGAAGAGGAGAGAAATTATCCCGCTGGCGGAAAGAACTCTTCCGCGCTCCTGCCTGACCTAGTCATCCAGCACCAGATACACTTTGGTAATTCTGTCTGCTGACTTCTGATCAGATGCGTTTATCAGCTCCACAAATCTCTTCTTCCTCATGAACTACCTCTTCCATGATTGACAGAATAAGCTAAGTACAAACATACAGACATGGAAATGCATTAATTTTTTTTTTACCACAGTTTAAAAAAAAAAGAAAAATAAAAGAAAAAAAAATGCACAATCTTTGGAACAAAAGAATTAAAGGCAGAAATTTAAAGGAAAAAAAATACATATTCAAAGAACATAGTGAGGTATAAAAAAGTATTCTCTCTTTTTTTTTTGTGGTTTTTTTTTTTGTTTGTTTTGTTTTGTTTTTGTTTTCCTCTTCATCTTGCTATAGAGTTCCTCTACTTGTAAATATTGCAATAGCCAGGCCTCATGAACTGGGGGGCTGTCCCAGTGGCGGGGTCTCACGTCACTTCAGTAGGGGGCAAATCGGCTGTAGCCACCTCGGTATAAACTTGCCTGTGGGGATGAAAGAAAAAAAAAAAAAACAACAACAAAAAATGAGGATTAAAAGGTTGGTGAGCGCAGCAAGAAGAGGAAGTTCAGGGTCCCCTGCAGGGACTTGCAGGAACAGACTCCTCAGAGACCCCCAGCATGCAGAGAGATGCCCCCAGTGGGGTCTGCCTTCTTTCCCCACTGTGCTCAATCCAGAGGAGGGACCCAGATGATGCCCTTCAGGACCGGGATCGTTCTATAGTACATGCCTGGAAGTCTCCTGTAGAATTCTGGGCTTGCTAAGAGCACATGTCCTTTTTTTTTCCTTTTATGGGTCACACCCGGTGATGCTCAGGGGTTCCTTCTGGCTTTGTACTCAGGACAGGAATTACTCCTGGTGCCTATACTTTTACTGAGAACAAACTGTCCACTGATGGAATGGCCCCGAGCAGCCTGGCGGACTCTAGCACCTGCATCTGGAACTTGGGTTATCTGAGGGTCACTATGGGTCCCCGGGGTCTTCCTTGTCCCGGCTAACGAATCTGGGCCATCGTGAGCATCAGGCAGGAGCCACTTTGAGCTGCCTACCTGCTTCCTGCCCGGCCTCCGTGCTGCCAGGAATAATGGCCACTATTCATTCCTGCACACTGGGTGAGGCCCTCTTGCCAGAGAGTCCTTCTTTTCTCTCTCTCTTTTTTTTTTGTTTTGTTTTTTGGGTCACACCCAGCGATGCACAGGGATTACTCCTGGCTCTGCACTCAGGAGTTACTCCTGGCGGTGCTCGAGGGACCATATGGGATGCTGGGAATCGAACCCGGGTTGGCCGCATGCAAAGCAAACGCCCTACTTGCTGTGCTATTGCTCCAGCCCCAGAGAGTCCTTTGTGCTTAAATACTTTGGCAATGGCAGGCGACTGGAGCTGATGACCTCCCTGATCGTTTTTCCACTGGTCGTTCAAAATGAGGAGGGGGACGGCCCTCAGAGAAAGGGCAGGTACTCACCACAGCGCCAACTCCATAGCTAGCGGCAGGGGCGAGGGCGTGGTAAGGGTCGGCTGTGTACACCCGGCCATAACTGGAGAGAAGAGACACGGTCAGGGATGGGCAGGGCGGACCAGGTCCCGGCAAACCGAGCCAACCGACTGGGCTCAGAACCCGGGAGACGCGTGGTCTTGGGATGTGAGGAGGACAATGGGAGAAAGGTAGAAACTCGCTTCTCCTCCTACGTGCAGGGACTCTCAGAGATTCTGAAGGAGTTTTTTCTTTTTGGGCCACACCCGGCGATGCACAGGGGTTCCTCCTGGCTCTGTGCTCAGGAATTACTCCTGGCGGTGCTCGGGGGACCCTATGGGATGCTGGGGATCGAACCCAGGTCAGCTGCGTGCAAGGCAGACGCCCTCCCTGCTGTACTATTGTTCCAGCCCTAAGATTCTTTTTTTTCCTTTTTGGGTCACACCTGGAGATGCACAGGGGTTCCTCCTGGCTCTGCACTCAGGAATTACTCCTGTGGTGTTCGGGGGACCCTATGGGATGCCGGGGATCGAACCCGGGTCGGCCGTGTGCAAGGCAGATGCCCTCCCTGCTGTACTATTGTTCCGGCCCCGAGATTCTTTTTTTTTTTTTTCTTTCTTTCTGGGTCACATCTGGAGATACTCAGGGATTACTCCTGGCTCATGCACTCAGGAATTACTCCTGGAGGTGCTCGGAGAACCCTATGGGATGCCGGGAATCAAACCTGGGTGCAGGGCAAACGCCTTCCCCATCCGGCCCCGAGATTCTGAAGGACTTCTACAGGAGCTGGAAGGGAGCTGGGAGGGAGGGGAAAAAAAAAAGAGGGATCTGGCCTGCTCGGCATGTGGGGTGTTCCGGGTTTGATCCCTGCCATCGCCCACACACAAGCACGATTTGGGATGATTTTCCTTCAGGGTCATTCCCATGATTATGTTTTTGCTTTGTTTTCTTGAACCGCACCCAGTGATGATCGGGGTTGGGTGGGTTCCTCCTGGCTCTGCTCTGGGGGGGGGGGGGGGTCCAAAGCAAAGAGACAAGAGAGGAGGGTGGGAAGGGGAGCTGGGGGCGGGACGCTCCCAGGGAGGCCCAGGCTTTACGTACCCGTCGCTGTAAGCTGCGGCAGCGGCGGCAGCAGCGGTGGCTGCAGTTGCAGTGGGCTGTGCATATCTGTAGGCTGCATATCCGCCCTACAGGAGAGAGGAGAAGCGACTTTACAGCGACCTCTGCCCCGGGGGACGGAGAGACACAGACACCCCCACCCCCCACAGCGGATCGAGACACACAGACATGGGGACCGACACCAACACAGATACACACATGGGAAGAGAGTGTTTCAAACTGCATCCGTCCACATGCTGTTCCTCGGGTACAAGACGGGCTCCCCCCACCCAATGCAGGGGGCGGGCTTTTTGATTTGAGAGTCACCCCCAAACCAAACGGGGGGGGTGGGGAGGGAGGAGAACAAGAGGCCGGGCTCTCTCTGCTCTCACAGCCTGAAGGAAGGAAGGAAGCCTGCGATGCTGAGAGCAGGGCTGGAATCAGCGGTCTAGGGCCCGCTCGGCATGTGGGGGGCTCTGGGGTTTGATTCCCGGCACTGCACAGGCGCAAACATGATTTGGGATCTTACGTCAGAGTCATTATGATTTTTTTGTTTGGTATTTTTTCTTTGAGTCACACCCAGCGATGCTGGGGTGGGGGGAGGGGGAATGAAGGGGGAGGTTCCTCCTGGCTCTGCGCTCAGGAATCTCTCCTGGTGGTGCTCGGGGGACCCTATGGGATTGGGATTGGCCGCGTGCAATCCAAATGATTGTCACCGTACTCTGGCCATAAAACGATTTACCAGAGACACAGCAGGAAGCACACACGCAGGGGCCGGGACCGAGCCACTTGGTACACCACGGGCTGAGTGGGCCTCACAGGTCTGGGGAACCCTGCGACCCCGGCTGCAGTGCTGCCTACACGCCTGCGTGGTCTTGTCATCTAGAAGTCAACCGGAATGTCTCAGGACTTGACTTTTTTTTTTTTAACTTCTAAAGAGAAAAACCAAACAGCCAACGCTTTTGTTAAATCACAGCGAGTTCTGGCCCGGGTGCAAAGTGAGCGTTCGAGGCTCAGCGACTTTCTTTCTAGCTGGAGACGGTCCCCTCCACCTGTGACGAGTTAAGGTTGGCTGCATGATAAACGTGGCCAACGACCATCACGTGGTCTGATCCCTCCACGCTGTTGGTCTGGGGTTGTGAGTTCTCCCAGGAGGGCCTGGGGGGCTCAGGAGAAGAGCCCTGAGTCTCGGGGAGACGCTGGGGGTGGCACTAACTCTGCATGTGGGGACCCTGAGAGAGGCCAAGATCTCCATCTTTCACTAACAGGAAAAGAATAACATCACTAAGAAAATGAATGGTGACATTTCCATTCAAACTAACCTACTTATTTTACTTCATGGTTATAAATCACTAACGCTTTTGTGTGTGTGTGTGTGTGTGTGTGTGTGAGCGCGCGCACACATGGAGGGTTGCTCCTGGCTCTCTGGTGAAGGGTAGGTAGCATCTGGTGGTGCTCAGAAGACCCTATGCAATGCCGGGATTCAAACCACTGCTGTGGCCACATGCAAGGCAAGGACTTAGCCTCTGTACCATCTCTCTGGCCCCATTAATCCGCCGCAAAGAAAGCAGACGGTCTTTCAACACGCCTCGTTACCTTACAAGAGCGGTGCTGAAGAGAGGAGGCTATATTTAGCAGGGACAGCGGATTTTCCAGCAAATCTGGTGAGTCACCAGATGCCACACCCAAATCAGAAAAACTAAAAATGTCCATCACGGACTTTAATTCACGCAGACGTCTTCTTCCTCCAAAGAGACCGATTTCTGCGGTGCTTTTAGATGGGTTAGCCAATAAAAACACGGCCCCCCACCCGCCCTCCAGTTTAAGACCAAGACAACGCAGAGACGTTCATTTCCATTCCAATTTCCAAGGGCCCAGAGCTTGCCGGGCTGAGAAATTTCTCCCAGGGTTCAATTCTACTGGCCAATCTGTAGGATTTCGTCAAACATGAGAACACAGTGCAGTTTGAAACACCAAGGTTTTTCATTACAGGTTCTTAAGTTGTTTTTTCTGTTTTTTTTTCTTCCCCCCAAAAGAACAAGGGTGGGAAAATGGGTAGGAAAGAGAGGGGTGTCCAGGCGGGGGGTGGGTGGGGGGGTAGGGGGATATGGCGCCACATTTATTAATCACATTAAAAACTAAGCATGCCAACATCTGGAGCTAAAACAACCAGCAAAAATCACCACGTTCAGACTGGATTGGCTAACGCTATCTATCCCAGCATTCTCTTGGGACAGTGGTTTGCCCTAAGTCTACCACAAGCTCGGTGAAGTACACAGCCTCAATTACTAGAGCGTGCAGCCACACGACCTGGTATTACAGAAACAGTCAGTCACCACTCGCGTTAACATTCCAGACCCTAACGGCTGGCCCCCCGCCCCAGCCCAGAGAAATAGTCATTCGGGCCTCCCCCCCACCGCCCCCACCCCGGGCCCACACCACAATGTTAATAATTATGACAAGCAGTAACCCATCTGTTATATCAGAGAAGGGAACAGAGACTGCACCGAGAGATTTAGAGTGAGATGTTAACATTTCTCCAGCTGACCGCACAAACGAACAAACGGAGAGGAGGAAAACTAAAAAAATAAATAAATAAAAAATAAATAAATACATAAATAAAAGGAGGAGGAGGAGGAGGAGAAATAATTCGTTTGGAGATATGAGGCCATGAAAAGTAGCGGATGTGTCTTGCTCTCACCATGCACCAGATGCAAAACTGAAGCAACCATCGAGTCATAAAAAAAGCAAAAAAGTAAAAAAAAAAAAAAAAAAAAAAAAAAAAGAAAAAGACATATGGTTTGACAAACAATCAGACCTGGTTGATCTGAAGCAGTTTGCAGACTCTGTCTGGGTGTGATTTGAAATAAAACAAAAAATGGGGATTAGCGTGGGCCATGGCACACCCTGATGGAGTAGGGACAAATGGACGGCTGCCCGGGGGGGGGGGGACCCCTGGCCACGGGACACGGTGGGCCTGGCTACTCCCGACCCTAGGAGACAGGGACCCTTTGAAAAGAACTTCCTTCTCCTCCTGGCGCCCGCTCAGGACGGCCCCTACGGCTCCCACCTGGGGCCCTCCCCAGCCTGCGGGGTCCCCGCTGTGGCCTCCCAACCCCGGCCTGACCCGAACACTCCCCGCTGTGCTGCTCCTGGCCACAGTGCTCCTCCTGCCCCTCAGCTGTCTTTCGGCATTGGACCTTCTCCCGTGCCCGCAACCCATAACCGTCCTTATCTCCAACCTCCGGCCGGTGGAGGGGAAGATGCCACCACCTCCCTGATGCTGCTACTGTTTCTGGTCCCTGCTCTGTTGCCCCCTGCCCCCGGCTACGGTCGCCTACTAGGGATTCTTGGTCATTGGAGAAACGTGAAGCCGCTGCAGTGACGGTCTGGTTTTTCTTTTTTCTTTTCTTTTTTGGGTCACCCCTGGCGATGCTCAGGGATTCCTCCTGGGCTCTGCGCTCAGGAATGACTCCTGGCAGTGCTCGGGGGAACCCTATGGGATGCTGGGAATCGGACCCGGGTTGGCTGCGTGCAAGGCAAACGCCCTCCCCGCTGTGCTCTCACTCCAGCCCACGGCCTGGGTTTTTCCAACCCGTTCTGCGGCCAGGAGTGTTTGAAGAGTCCAACGGAGCCCGGGAGGGGTTTCCCTTGGCCCCCCGCCGCAGTAACAAGGCCTGTATCTGCCTCGCTGCTGCTCCCGTCCTCCCACTCGGACTCGCCCTCTGACTGGGTGCTGGCCTCGCCTTGACTATTTTAGGGTCCCAATTAAAACAGGACTTTGGTGAGCATGTGATGTCAAGACACCTGGGTTCTACCTGGAAGACAGTGACATCATGTGACACTGAGGAGAGGCATGTGTGTGTTTTTCGAGCGGAGAAGACGAGAGCTCACGCCCTGACTGGACGTGCGGGGACATGAAGGGCAGGGGTGAGGACGACAGGGCAGGGGCCCAGACTAGCTCGGGTCCTTCCCCAGCCAGCCCTCTCCCCTCGACTGCGGGGAGGAGGGGCTCTTTCCTCCTCCGGGGCAATAGGGTACTCTCTGGTTGGATGTGGAGAATGGGAGACACAGATACCAGGATTTATAATAATGATCAGGATTGCCAATATCGCCTTTTATTTTTTCTTTTTTGGGTCACACTCAGAGATGCACAGAGGTGTGACCTGGTGCCTGCACTCAGGAATTACTCCTGGCGGTGCTCGGGGGACCCTATGGGATGCTGGGAATCGAACCTGAGTTGGCTGCGTGCAAGGCAAATGCCCTCCCCGCTGTGCTATCGCTCCAGCCCCCCAATATTGCTTTTGATCGGCAGACTCATCTACTCCAAAGAGTAGTCGTTGGGGGGGGGGGGCAGGGCGGGGATAAAGCCTGCCAGGGAAGTATTTCAAGTTGGCCTTAATTATTCTTCAAAATTGGGTCAGAAAGGGTTGAGAAGCTCTTCCGATCAGTTTGCAGTGTCCCCCGGAAATGGGAGAGATGACCTCTACACACTAATTCCGCCTCTCCCTAAGTTGGTTCCTTTTCAAATTCTCACTTGGTGGCCATTGTACCCCTCCCCCCCCCCCAACCCCATGTCCGGCTCCCAGTGAGCTTTCTAAGAATAGTGCTTGATTAGCTGAAGGAACTGGCTCATCTCTGAAGGTGAAAGATGGGAAGGGCACTGCCTTGTTCTAATTTTAGAATCCCCGTCTGTCTAGAGGGTTAAGGCAACTTCAGAGTTGTGCGGCCCATCTGCTGTTACGGACTTCTCCCCAGAGCCCAGCGGGGGAGCAGGAGGCTTCGGGGCATGGGGGATCCTTCTCTGCCCTCCTCTCCTTTCTCTCACAGTACCAAGAAAACGTCCCCTCGGGGCTGTTAAAATCTCCAAATCGAAAAGCTTCATGGATAAAAGTGCTTGACAAACGGAAAGAAGTGGCGTGGAACGGATGGCGCATCTAACACGCCTGGGCGTGGAGGGTGGGCAGGTGCCCACGGGACAGGAGCACTGCATTTTGGAGTGGGGGAGGGCGGGGGCATCCTGGAGGAACTGTGTGCGCTGCTGAGGTAGCAGGGCTTATTAGATCACACACTCACAAGCCTTGACTGTCAAAAAAAAGCCTCTGTTCCCATCTCTAACGTGGAGCTGGAATGGTTAGTATGATTCAATTGGTTCACTGCAATCCACAATCTGATTGATTGGCAGGCCACACTGGCACTCCTACCTGAGGTATTTTAGCGCTAATGATTGGTTCCTGTAAGACTATTCTATAACAGAACACAGGAAGAGCAGTTCAAAAAACACAGCTGTGGAAGGAAAACAATCATACAAAACAGCCCGCAAAAAGGGGGCTCACCAGCCTTTTCTTTCCTTTGGATGCAAGCATGCTTTTCACAGGAAGAGAATTAGGAGTGGGTTTTTGTTTTGTTTTTGTTTTTAAAATCCCCTTCAGAGGCTCTGTGTGGCTAAGTGCCTTTCCCTCTGGGAGACCAGAGAGGTGGCGGCAGGTACCCCATCTCTTAGCTACACCCCCCGAATGTTATCACGGTCTCTACAAACATGGGCCCTGCCACTAAACCCGTTATTTGGAGAGAAACTGTGTCGGAAAAGAAACAGGAAGAAAATGGCTAGCAGGGATTGCGTTGGGTCGAATAACAGAAGATGGAGAGAGATTAAAAAAAAAAAAACAAACAAATCCAACCCAAGAGCCCTCCGCCATTTGTAGCCTAAAATGATGGTGTTTAAGCAAGACCAACAACTTAAATTCTTCTTCACCAGGCTTGACTTTGGGGCACTTTCTAAGTGGGAGATCAACCCCCTCTGTGTCACGCTATTCTGTGTTCGGAGGACACAGGAACTGAACAGACAAACACAGAGTTCCACGAGAGAGAGAGAGAGAGAGAGAGAGAGAGAGAGAGAGAGAGAGAGAGAGAGAGAGAGAGAGAGAGAAAGAGAGGAGAACACACAGGGGGAAGCAGAACGGCTCAGAGTTCAAGGGTCGGGAGTTTTGGTTGCCATGTTTTTAAGAAACATCTTTGCCTATTTAACATATCAAGTGAGAAATGGTAAGATTTCAAAACCACGGTTATATTAACCCGGTGGAAGTGAACTCACAATGTTTTCTTATTTTTCACTCTAGGGATCAGGGGTTATTTTAGAACAGGTGACCAACTTTTCCTTGCAATAACTGATTTAAAAAATGATGATAACGGCCGGAGTGACAGTACAGCGGGGAGGGCGTTTGCCTTGCATGGGGCCCACCCAGGTTCGATCCCCGGCATCCCACAGGGGGTCCTGAGCACCGCCAGGAGTGATCTCTGACCACAGAGCCAGAAGAAACCCTTGAGCATTGCCGGGTGTGGCCCCCAAACCAAACCAAACCAACAAACTAGGTGATAACATTAGTTTAATTATTTTCATCAATAAGGGCTCACTTGTCAAAAAACTGGGCAGGGAGACACCTGGACCACTAAATTATTTCTGTTTATTTGGATAAGGTGGTCCAATGAGTAGATATAAAAATTTAAAGAGTATATTCTCAACAAGTATAGGAAAATCATCTCCCAATAAAACCACAGATCGCAAATTAAGGAAATGAGAAAATCATAATAAAGTATTTGGTTGGTTGACTTAACTAGGTAGCGGGCAAATCTTAGTAAGGCAGAAGTTGGCCACATTAAAAAAAAATATATATATATATATATGTGTGTGTGTGTGTGTGTGTGTGTGTGTGTCCTTAAATAAGGAGCTAGAGAAAAAAAAAAACTTTATTTAGAAAAGTATTCGGGGTTGGAGTGATAACACCGTGGGTAGGGTGCTTGCCTTGCAAGTGGCTGACCTGGGTTCGATTTGCAGCATCCCATATGGTCCCCCCCCAAGCACCGCCAGGAATAATTCCTGAGTGCAGAGCCAGGAGTAACCCCTGAGCATCGCTGGGTGTGACCCAAAAAGAAAAAAAAAGCATTCAAATGAAAAAAAAAAAAGTGCTCTGACAGATGAGACTTCAAGAGAACAACTTAAACAACACAAAGATGAGTTTTAGGAGAATGTGGATATTACTAGTCTACAATGGAGAACACATAGGCTAAGATCACGTGAAAATATGTATATCCAGAAATGTGTCATCCAGTTGAGGTGTGGAACAAGGTTGTTTAACCCTTATGTTTTACTATGAGCACAAGAAACAGTGTTATCACTACGCCTCAGAAAACCACTTGAGGAAAGATGTCAATTTTAAAGTGCTACAAGAGGCAACAAAATATACGCTCGTGGCATTTGGTGTTTGGCTCTGCAAATAAATTTATGTAATTCTGGGGAAGCCAGTCTCACTAAGGAACCCATTTGTAAGACGTGAGGGCCGCGCTGGGCATTTCTTAAATAAAGGCAGACACCGAAAGCCTACATGAAACAGAGCACTTGTGTACAATATTTGGGTGCACTTTGAAGACTTTTTTTTAAAATTTGTTTTTGTAGGTCACACCTTAGAGTGCTTGGGGGACCAGAAACCAGGGTGGCTTTGCGCAAGGCAAGTGCTCTACCCGCTGTACTATCTCTTAGGCTCTCAAAGGCTGTTCCATCCTTTGCCAACTTCCTGCAAAACCAAGAACCTCTAAGTACATCCTCAAAATGCATGCAATGTTTTTCGACTGCTAGAGACTCTGGAGAAAGACTCCAGGACGCCTGGAAAACTGTTAAAATCAAGGTTCCCTTGATAGATTTGGGAAAGGTGGAGAAAATACCTCCAGACAATTCATTCTAACGGCAGCCCAACAGCCTGCCGACGTTAAGGTTTTGGCTTTTTGATTTTTTTCTGTGTCTACAAAATTGTTTCTTATACACTGGAGCAGTCAGACGACCAAGTTGGCATCCGCGAGAAGGTCCTCTGGCGACAACCTAGCAGATTTCAACCCTTAAAACCTCTGAGTCTTTGTCAGTGAGCGTCTTCGTCTAGGTTTTAAATACTACGTGACAAACGGGTCATGAATCTTCCCCTGCGCCTAGCTCCGATTAAATGGATTCCATGTTCAGATGGCTGTTTAAAGAGATCTTGCATGCTGGTCGTATGTTTGGAGGAGAAGCCTAGATTGCTACCTATCTCCCCTCCTTTTCCTCCAGACGGCTCTTAAGGAGAGCAGCCCCTGGTCTGTCATGGACCGTAGCCTAAAGACTGGGTTTCTTCTCATCGCCAGTTCCAGATCTCACTTTCACCGTTTAGTGTTCTCGGAAAAGCACATCAAAGAGGAAAACACACAGCTTAGAAGGTTATTGCCATTTACGTAAATTAAAGCTCTGATGATCTAGAAAGGGATGTGAAATGAGGAGGAAAAGCAGAAAAAAGGGGAAAGAGTTGGTTTAGGGCTAAAGCTAGTTCCGTTATTTACGTATATGTGCATGGGATGACAGTAGTACGACTTTAAACCTGCTGATCATCTCGTGAATGTATTAGTGATACACAGAACACCTGTGGGTCTCGGGAAGGGAAAAGAATAGGTCCAGTAGACTGACCCTAGCCATGATCAGGACACCCAAAGGCTTTAGTTTTTGCACCCCGGGGGCAAGCGCAGTGGCAAAGCATGCTTGCATTCTGAAATATATAAATATATATAATATATATATCCACAAGGAAAAAAGAAAACGAGAACTTAATAAATTATACTAAAAAAAAAATAATAAACAAAAAAACCAAACCAAACCAAACCAAAGAAACAGAAAAAAAAAGGCTGGCTTGTCGGGGGGTGGGGTCCAGAGGCCCCGGTGTGTGTACTTACATAGAGGTCAGCACCGTAAAATCCGTCCTGGTAAACCACACTGCAGAAAATCCACACAAAAACAAAAACAAAAAAAACAAAAGAACAGAAACACATTCCGGTTATTGAGGACGGCAGCATGCACATGCGCTCTATACGGGCAGGTGATGTATGAATATGTAACCTGGGCTGGGGGGGGTGGGGGTCGGGGGAGGGGGGCACGCAGTGCGAGCCAGCGGGGAGGAAGTGAGCATGCGCCCACCTCACACAGCGCCTTCGGACGGGGGAGGGGGGTGGGGCAGGGAATGCACTTCTAGAACATTCCCCGGGGTCACCCGGTCACCAAAGGAAGACCGTTGTGGCAAGGAACTCTCCCAGAGGACCTGAATGGGAAACCCATAGGGTCAGTTGGAGCCATCAACATTTTAAACCACCCCCCACTCACCCCGGAATTGTTAACCAAAGCTAAGCTTGCACACTAGCAGGGAATCTTTTTTTTTTTTTTAAAAAAAAAGAAATTTAAAGTTTGGGCTTATGGGGGTGGGGGTCAGGGCAGATGGGAAGGTGGGGGGCATTAACATAAAAGCAAAAATGAACCCCAAGTTTCCCACTAGGGCGGTAAGTCTCCGTAGGCCAAGGATGCTTCAAAACGATGTTTAGTATTTCGTTTTTCCAGTTCGTACTTTTAGCCCCTCCCCCTGATATCCATACATCACCTGCTTTTTTTTTTTTTTACCCTGCACATTAGACATGCGATAAGATTTGGCTGATCACACAAGCATGCAAAGTATTATTATTCAGCATTTTAAGAACCAATGCAACACCTCGGAAAAACAAGTCAATCAATTCTGACCAAAGTAAACAGAGAAATGTAATTAAAAAAAAAAAAACACAACCAAAAATACCCACAATGCATTGCTTTCACAAGCAGAGATAATGAGCTAAAAGGTTAAGGTGATTGGTCCAAGGTCCAAGAATTGAAAGGTGCAGTGGGGATCCCAGATAGTAACAATATAATCCAGAGTGGGAAGGAGTACTTGGAAGATTTTAAGGGCTCTTTTTTTTAAAAAATATCTAAATAATTCTGATAAATACAACTGATAACTAAAGTTCTGGGCATGATCAAATGTTATCCTATTTTCTGTCTTTTTAAAGAATTAAACTTGATGGTAGCAGATTAGGAATAGAGAGCTTATGTTTCTGTTTAGAAAATGAACTTGTAGCAAAGAGTACTGTAGCACTGTCCTCCCCGTTGTTCATCGATTTGCATGACTTAAAAAAAAATAAAAAACCCTGAAGTGACACTAGACTAATTTTAAACTGAAATAGAGATTGTTAAACCTTTCGAGGCATTTTTGTGCATGTCCTTTCTCAAAAACATTACGGTGGGTCCAAAGGACATGGAACAGTGGTAGATATAAGAGACTCTCTCTTCTTTGTATTTGTTAAATCAAGATTTGGCTCTTTTAAATGAGAAGATCTGCTAATCATCATTTAATGAAACAGAAAAAGCTGGAAAATGGCACCAATGCCGTCTCTACTAGAATAAATACACTAGCAAGTGAGGGCATGACTGTATTTTTCATTTCAACACCAAGTAACTTACTCATGGGTAGCTGAAAAGTTTCTGATTCTATTTCCAGTGACCTTTAACTGTGCTGAGTGTATAGCGTAGTCATATTTTGCAAGACCTTCATTATGGTGTGCCTTTGTGTTATGCAACAGGCAAATTGCACTCATCTATGATGCTCAGAGAGTCGAGTTCTGTGTGGTTTTAGTCTTGAACTGCAGCTGAAATCTGTTACTAGACAGTTATCTGCCTCTCAACCACAAATGAGACCTGTTCTCACAAAGAATGTTGACAAAAATGAAAAGCACTGAGACCATGTGATTGATTAACTACGCTTCCTCTATTTCAGTACGGAGACACAGGCAACGGCTAAAAAACATTTCTTCTCTCGAGAAGAGCAGCGGCTTTAAAAACAGGAGTGAATCCTACCCTAAGCTGCCTCACTCACTAGGACTATTCACCTGCATTTTCTACAAGAATTCTCATATTCCCTGTATCAAATGCCATAGGAGGCTAGAATACAATCAGTAGTGAGGAAATTAGTTTGCTAAGCTGAAAAGCAATTTTAGGCCATTCCCCATAAAATACTGGACTTATTCCTTGCCATCTTCCATGAAAATAGGTGGCTCAATTAAAAAAAAAAAAGAAAAAGGAAAACATGGGAAATTAGTGTTCAAATGTAATGCATAGAAATCTATGTGGTTAAATACAGAGATTAAATCATTTTTGACACGGACTTGTCAGAAAACAGCTTCTCAAGTTTGGCAAATACACTGAAATGACCTGCATTGGTAAAGGATGCGTTCCATCACCATCTAAGTTAACTCAGGAACGTGGCAAATTAAAGAAGTCCCATGTTTCTGCTGAACACAGTGTCTCTGCAAACAAGACGGCACACTCTCTTGGATTGAAATGGAAGACGTCTCATGAGTTAATTTTCCTAGTGTGTAGAACTCCCCGAGGTTTCGCTCTGATGCTTAACTCGAGCATTTCTCCATGGCCAATAATACCACTTCTTGAGTCACAGCTTTTAAAAAAAGAGATGTCAGAGGTTGAAGGTCAAAGGTCAAGTCGGAAGGGGTGTGTGTGGGGGAGGAAAGGGATCAACTCAAAGGTAAGTGATGAGAGAAGATGGAGATGATGGGATGCATGGGATTTAAACATCTATAAACTGCAAACAAAACGTACTTTCGGAAGCAGCTCCCTTCCGGTGGCTTCCGGGGCCTGCCCCCTACGACATGCATGCTTCCCTTCTCAAATAAAAATGTCTTAGTGCTGTGCCGGGCAGGGCTCCTCATGGCGTGCCTACTCGGACTAGGGATGCGACTGCACACAGCACACCTCAAAGCCAACTGCTGTTCAGGAAGGGCCCCCAAAGAGGCTCTTTCCCTTGACATTTTAACGAAGCAGCAACACATAGGTCCCTCTCCTAGTCTGCTTTCTCCTCATTAGGGATGTGTGGGTGGGGTGGGGGTGGGGGGAAAACTCTGTTAACAGGCAGAGAGAAGAGGAAGAACACGAACGTCCCATCTCCGAAGGGAGGCCCCTGATACGACTAACTTCGGAACCATCCGCTCTTGGTAAAAATAAACCCCTCTCCGGGCTGACGACGGAGAAGCCAGGGAGAACCCGAGCCTGCCATCCTCTCTCCGGCTGCCCCCAGTTCCGTGCCAAAGGATTTATTTGTTGCTATGGAATCGTTCCACTGCATGAGACACCCTCTGTACAAAAATCAAGGGGCGAAGGATCCTCGGCTGCGTTAGACGTTTTACCATCGTTCAGAAGTCAACGGTAGTTTAATTCTTCCTACTTCTCCCTTCCTCCCTTGAGTCAATTGGACTTGGTTCATCTTTGAATTAACCTCTTTTAATCCGTTCTCCTACAAAGAAAGCAAATCCATTGTGGGTAACTAGCTCTGCGGCTCACCACCCAGGCGGTGGAACCAGGAGGCGCGAGGGCACAGGTGACAGCCTGACCCGCTCCCCCCCCACATACACGCGGGGTGGTGGGGAGGTGTGAGCACGGCAGAGGCAAGGCTGGCACTACAAACAGGAGCTCCTGGTTTGCTTCTCGGCAGCTGTGTTAATAATCCACATCCGTGCGATGCTGAGTGAACTCCATGCCCACACACGGCTAGTAAACACGAGACAGTCTGGCTCCTGGCTTACGCCACGGCCACGGGGCGTGGGGTCGCCCAGACGCAGAGTTCGGGGCAGCCATCGGTTATTCGGTTACGTTCTGACAAGTGGCACGTTTTAGTTGTTGTCACAAACTCCGTTAATTTGCTGCTAGGCAGAGACACTCTACTACAGTCAGGTCCCAGGAGTGATGAGAGGGTCAAGGGCTTTCCTTTCCGTCTGGTACCTGGCGGGGAGTGGAATGCTTACCCTGGGTAGGCGGGAATGGCTGTCGGAGGTACCGCCCGGACCGCACCGTACACCGTCCTCCCTCTGCCCCGCAGGTGGGCTCCTCTGAAAGCGGCCGCCGTGGTGGCTGCAGTTGGGTAAGGGAAGCCAGGAACTAAAGGGAGACCCAAAATATGACAGGAGCGTCAACTGACATTCAACAGTCGGCAGAGAGTCCAACTTGCTTTGGACCGACAGCAAGGCAAGATTCCACGCAACAGCTTCTCTGAGAGAGAGAGATGGCAGGAGAGGCCCGGGACTCAACAGCTGACGAGTCCCAGGGTGCTGTAGCCACAGGGCTGCTCTTGGTCCCTTTCTAGTTTGGGCCTTCCAGAGTGAGCTCGTGAGAAAGCAGGCCGAGAAGGAAAGGTCCCAATCGGAGACATCTTTTTTTTTTTTTTTTTTTTGCTTTTTGGGTCACACCTGGCGATGCACAAGGGTTACTCCTGGCTCTGTACTCAGAAGTTACTCCTGGCGGTGCTCAGGGAACCATATGGGATGCTGGGAATTGAACCCGGGTCGGCCGCGTGCAAGGCAAACGCCCTACCCGCTGTGCTATCTCTCCAGCCCCGGAGACATCATTTTGTGGGGAGTTTCGATAAACCGAATAGACACTCTTGCTGGTCAATTATTACTCTTACTCCCAAACTTCCTGGTACGTATGATAATTATTTTTCATAATAATACTCCTCTGTATTTTAATATTAGAATAACCTGCAAGGCATGATAGGGTTCTCTACTTTATTTCATTCACCAATTGTCCTGTATTGAAAGTGCTTCTTTTTTTTTTGGGGGGGGGGGAGCGCTGTTATTGGGTCACACTTGGCAGTACTCAGGGCTTACTCCTGGCTCTGCACTTAGGGGATCACTCCCGGAAGGCTCAGGGAGGCCCTATGGGGTGCCGGGTACTGAACCCGGCTTGGTCAGCCTTTCCTGCAGTACTATCTCTCCAGCCTTGGTCTAAAGTGTTTTGATCCAGCTGTAAGGGCAGAGGGAACGAACTTCTTCCCTGTAGCTTGTGTCCTTAAACCAGCACGCGTGTCCTACGGGCCTGCTTAAAGTGTGCTAGCCTCTGGAATGCAGGCAGACATGCAGTCCATTGCCACTGACTACCACTTCATCGTCTTTTTTTTTTTTTTTTTTTGCTCTTTTGGGTCACGCCCGGTGATGCACAGGGGTTACTCCTGGCTGCTCATACACTCAGGAATCACTGCTGGTGGGACTTCTATGGGAATGCTGGGAATCGAACCCAGGTCGGCTGCGTGCAAGACAAACACCCTCCCCGCAGTGCTATCTTTCCAGCCCCAATTCATCATCCTTCTTGATGAAGCACAAGACTCAGGTCAAAATGACTTTCGGGCTGTCAGCATAGCTGCCAGGAGTTAATGCGTTCGATGCTCTAAAGCGATATTCTACAAGAGCTGGTCTGTAGAATATCGAGCTGGCCCAAAGCTGGTCTGCAGTGGAGCCGCATAACGGGAGTCCACGGACACTTGCTTTAGTTCCTTCACCATCTAAATGCAGACTAGAACCTTCTTCAGAGGGTCTCGGCCTAGCCCATACCTTTGGCAACCTCGGTATTTAGTTTGGAATAGGGTTCTCTACTTTATTTCTTTCACCAATTGTCCTGTATTGAAAGTGCTTCTTTTTTTGGGGGGGAGGGCTGTTATTGGGTCACAGATTGGAATCTGAAAGATTCCAGCACAAGTCAGGTCAGACAGACCTTGACGGTGCGATCTCTCTCTCTCTCTCTCTCTCTCTCTCTCTCTCTCTCTCCTTCCTTTCAGTTCATTATTAGACTGGGGGGTTTGGGGGAAGATCAGCACCCATCCCCCCTCCCCCCTCCCGTTTACTCGCGACAGCCAAGACCCATGGCAGGCCAACGTAGGCTACTTACTGATTAAAGGAATGTACGTGTTGATGCCTCCTCTTCCAGACAGGGGCACGGCCGCCTCGTTGCCTAGGGACACATCCGCCTGGAAGCTGGACGCTGAGGCATCAGAAACAAACACACACATTACAAACGGTGACTCCAGAGCCGACGCGGTCACAGCGCGACGGAGCACACGAGAACCGCGGCTTCAGATACTACCTGCGTATAACTCAGGGCCGTAGACCGCTCCGACAACTGGGCTTAATTTCCAACCTGAAAGAGAAAAGGGAGCACTGAACGGCGGGGCGAGGGGGCCCCCCTTCCCCGGGAGGGCGCCAAGGCGGCCTCGCTCCCAGATGAGTTTATTTTTTGCTCGGTTATCAGCGTCCCTTTAGAATGTCAGCTGGCGGGTCGAGGAGAGGGCGATGACATTTCCAGACCTGATAATTCCCAAGCAGCACGGACAACAGTGAAGAGATAATAAGGGCCTCCGGGCGAAGCACGGGAGTGGGAAAGAAAAAGAGACATAAACCTGGGAATTCGCCTGGTGTCTCTCAGAACACCGTAGCTGACCCAGATTCCACGTAAGAAACCAGGAGGGGAGCTAGACTATGCCCCCTCCTGTTTATCCCACCTCAGTACTCTTTCTCCATCACCTTAATACTGACCCCACTGACTTCTCTGACTGCATTCTGATTTGACCTGGCTGTCATTCCGTGACAGGCTGCATCCTGCTGATGGCATTCCAGGTAGACGGAAATCCACTTTCACTGGGATTTCATGGAGTAACCATGTCAACGAGACAGACAAACGTTGTAAAAAAAAATTGTCAGGGGCCGGAGCGATAGTTCAGCGGGGAGGGCGTTTGCCTTGCATGTGGCCGACCCAGGTTCAATTCCAATTCCCAGGCATCCCATCGAGCACCGCTAGGAGTGATTCCTGAGTGCAGAGCCAGGAGGGACCCCTGAGCATCGCTGGGTGTGGCCCCCAAAGCAAAAATAAATAAATAAACAAATAAACTCTAGTCAACTCCCAACCTGAGTGCCTGTTTTATAGTAAGTGCAGAAGTTAAGCAACCCTTTTCATTACACGTATACTAACGCTCACGATAGTCATGAATTTTGTTTCTCCTAACTTCAGTTTCGTAATGAACCTTCACTTTTCATTCCCTTATTTAACAGAAATATAAATTAAGAAAATTTTATTTAAAAAAGATATATGACTGGGTAGAGCGATAGCACAGCGGTAGGGCATTTGCCTTGCACATGGCCAGCCTGGCTGACCCGGGTTCGATTCCTCCACCACTCTCAAGAGAGCCTGGCAAGCTACCGAGGGTATCTCACCTGCACGGCAAAACCTGGCAAGCTCCCTGTGATGTATTCGATATGCCAAACACAGTAACAAGTCTCACAATGGAGACGTTACTGGGCCTGCTCGAGCAAATGGATGAACAACGGGAGGACAGTGTGACAGACAAAGAGTAGAACTCCTTATGAAAATTTTAACCAATATTATTTCTTGAATTTTTATATATTCAAGACTTATATAGGTATATATTTCTTCCAAATATGTATGCAAACATCGTTGGTTCTGCTGAAAAACTGACTTTTCAGGGGACTAGTTTTCTATTAAGTTCACCACATTGAGCCATTCCTACCCTACATATTTATGAATAAAAACAAATCAGATTTATTATTATTAGCATTACAATTTTTTTGGAGGTGTCATGTATAGAATCCAGACCTCACACATCAATGATCAGATTTAAGTGGCTGCTGTAAAGATATGAGAAAAGTCCATTTATTCTGAATTAACCCAGTCCTCTTTTATTATTTTATGTGCTCACAGATGATAATATGATCTGTCACTGTTCTCCCGTTCTTCATCGATTTGCTCGAGCGGGCCCAGTAACGTCTCCATTTTGAGACTTCTTGTTACTGTATTTGTCATATTGATTACGTCATGGGTAGCTTGCCAGGCTTTGCCATGTGGGTGAGATACTCTGATAATATGATAACACCTCTTTGTGATTTTATGGAAAAATATGGCACGATCTGGTTCACAGCCTATTGGAGTTCTACGAGCCCACGTGTTGTGTAGCCTGCAATCTATTGTCTCACACGAATTGAACTGCGATGCCCGTGACTCCGGCAGGAATCACCGGGTCCCCAGAATCCTGGACACAGTGGCAGCAGCTTTCTAAAAGTGGGGTCCATCAGCTTAAGTTTAGAATCATAGTTGAAAAACAACCTTTTCTTTCCTAGAAAGGCCATTAACTATGACTTAAGTGTTCCCTCTTGGTAATCAGGGCAGACAAAGGCATACTGCCAATAAAACTTTGAATATGCCCTGCTTCGTACAAGGTGATGTATTTTCATGGACATTAGGGGAACCTGACCACCATAAAACTGAGAGAGAGAGGGGCTGGAGCAATAGCACAGTGAGGAGGGCGTTTGCCTTGCATGCAGCTGATCTGGGTTCCCAGCATCCCATATGGTCCCCCGAGACCGCCAGGAGCAATTCCTGAATGCAGAGTCCGGAGGAACCCCTGAGCATCACCGGGTGTGACCCAAGGGGAGGAAAAGAAAAACATGAGAGAGAGAGAGAGAGAGAGAGAGAGAGAGAGAGAGAGAGAGAGAGAGAGAAGAAAAGGCACTCCATGGCGGGTGTGTGTGTGTGTGTGTGTGTGTGTGTGTGTGTGTGTGTGTGTGTGTGTATGACTAAGTAAGTACCATGCAACTCTGGGCCTCATTTCCTAAATAAGCTCAGAGAGTTGTGGTTTTGAGACTTCTAGAACTTTCTAGTGTCAAAATACCATGGCGGTGAACTGACAGAGATGAAAACAGAATCAGATAGGTTATGAAACTGGCCCATGGTCACACAGTTTTATGAAGAGAAGAGTCAGACCCAGGCGAGTCTGTCTCCTGAGTGCATGTCTGTGACTCTTGCTACTCTTGCACCATTTCCCAAGCTCTAAAGGAAATCTGACAGACTGTCTCTCCTGACTTTGTTTGTATTGGGTTTTTGATCAAAATTTCAGGCTTCCCCGCCCCCCCCCCGCCGTAATCAAAAGAAAATGAGAGGTAAGTGGGAGGTGGTGGTACCAACGGTATCCCAGTGATAAAATGCGTAAGGAAAACGCAAGTTAGGCCAGTTTAAATCATCTCTGAGGCGAGGTTAAATAGTCCATTGCAGAGTTTATGGGATATACTCAATATTGTACCAACGTATCCGGCCATGCTCCATCAGTAGGGTCTAATGTAAAAGCCAGCAAAAACTCACTGTTCTCTGTGTGTGGGAGTGGGGATGGGACTGAATCCAGTCCTCAGGCATACAAGGCATGCACCTGCCACCTGGCCCTAGAAACTTGCCCTTTAATCTAGGTAAAAATGCCCTGCAGCACCTGTGAGATACAACAGGGCACGGAGGGCTGGCCACTCAGCAGGAGTAAAACTGGAGCCTCAGGCCCCTTCAGCTTCCTGGTTTTCCCTCCTAAGCTGGCCTGGCAGAACTGAGGACGGAACCCCTGGTGGACCGCAGCTTCAAATTCTATTTTGTTTCATTTAGAAATCACACAGCTAGACTTATTCGGACAACTGCTATTCAAGTTCTGTTTGCGTCAGATGACATCTCAAAAGAAAACTCCCTCCCAGTGAGAAACCTAACACCCACTATGTGAAAACCAACGGCACCTTTAAAAGGAGTGAGGGCTCTAGAATTATTCTCCTTGGGGCCTGAACGACGGGACAGCAGGTAGAATATCTGCCTTGCACGCAACTGACCCGGGTTCGATCCCCGGCATCCCGTATGGTCCCCCAAGCACTGCCAGGAGTAATTCCTGAGTGCAGAGCCAGAAGCAGACCCTGAGCATTTGCTGGGTATGACCCAAAAAGAATAAATAAATAAAATAAAAACAAAACAAAGGGGGGAAAAAAGAGGAATTCTCCTCATGCACCCATGGGTAGGGATCAGGGGTCAAGGTGAAAGTTGGTCAGTAGCTGGGGGGCAGTAACCTACGATGAAGAGTGTCCACATGTCAAGAGGCACCCTCTTGGGACCCACCCTGGGGTAACAGGGAATCTCGAATGATAAGCTCCTAACTAAGTGCAAGATGCACTTTACTGAGATCAGAATACCTCAGTAACTGAAAAACAATTTCAGGGAAACAGTTCATTTATTACAATAAAATACTTCCGGGTCAGAGAGGCAGCTCCCAAGGGCTTTGAGCAGGCTTTGCATGCCTGAGGCCTGGGTTCACATCCTGGCACTGCATGGTCGAATGAGTACAAAGGAACCCAGAGCAGGGCCCAGAGCAGACCAACCCTCCCCTCTGCCCGCCTCCACCGCCACCAATAAAATAAAATCCTTTGGAGCGATAGCACAGCGGGTAGGGCGTTTGCCTTGCACAAGGCCAGCCCAGCCGACCTGGGTTCAATTTCTCCGCCCCTCTCGGAGAGCCCAGCAAGCTACCGAGAGTATCTCGCCCGCACGGCAAAGCCTGGCAAGCTCCCCCTGGCTTATTCGATAGACCAAACATAGTAACAAGTCTCACAATGTTACTGGGCCCGCTCGAGCAAATCGATGAACAATGGGAGGACAGTGACAGTGACAGTGCTTTTTGGGTCAAACCCACTGATGCTCAGGGCCGGGGCTACTCCTGGCTCTGTGCTCAGGAATTACTCCTGGCAGTGCCTGGGGGACCATATGGGATGCCGGAGATTGAACTTGGGTCAGCCATGTGCAAGGCAAACACCCTACCCACTGTACTATGGCTCCAGCCTGATTCTTTGAATTTTATATATAGTTTATATACATTATATATAGTTCATAGATTGACACACAATGATTTCCTTTTGAAGATGGTTTATAATCTCTTACCATTTGCATAGGGTGTGACCATCTTCTTATTGGTCATTACACGTGCTGTCGCGTTATTCACCTAGAAATGCAGTAGAAAGGGGCAGGAGAGGAGATCACATTAGGGAACGGGGCTTTTTTCCAGCTAGTCACACAGTATTCAGTTTAACAGGTAAATTTCAGAAAGCACTGATTTACATAATTAATCTAGCAATGTTAAAATATCAATAGATAGTATTTTAATCAAAGTGCTTGTTACATGAGGCCAACAAGAGTAAACTGAAGTTTCTTGGTCTTCAAACGAAAAAATTGGGCTCTGTTACCTACCATGACTTCAAAGAATAAAAACATATGTGCATGTTCTTTGAATCTCTCTTAAACTGAGAAATCTCAGCATTTAAGGAAACTATGGGATGTGTAGGTTGGAAACCACATGAACTCTGAAGTTCACTGATAAAACAGTTTCAGCACATGGGTCAGGAAATCGATTTCGAGGAAGAAATATATATTGGTATATTTCACCTGTTACAATGTTTGGTATTTTTTTTTTTTTGGTTTGTGTAAGATTTTTCTGTTCAGAAGCAAACACATAGAGGAATTTAGAATCCCACACTGACAGTCTTTGAGACGACTCTGAATTTGTCAGATTATGCGGCCCATTTAATTTCTGAAATCATTTTTTTCCCAGGCCTTTAAATTGGGCCCTTAAAATAACTGGGAAGAAAATGTCCAAACCAAAACTTATTATTTCTTTTATTTTATGAGACTCTCCAGTCTGTAGTAGATCATTTAAAGCACTCTGCATTTGACAGGGATGAAGAAAAGGCACAAGAAGCAATGGTTCCGTGGGCTTCGGTCAAACCAACCACAAAGGATGTGCAAGGAGGGGCCAGTTTTATCATATAATTTGATTACATTTACTGTACGGTCAGGGACTGAAAAAAAAAAAGGCCCGTTTGAAAAAAATAATAATAATACAAAGTAGAATTATGTCTCATTTTGCTTCATGGAAAATACCTTATTGCCAAAATCTGTACAGTGATCAATTTGTGTAAAGCAAAGACTGATATTTGGGAGGTTTGGAATAAAAATATCCGAATGCGTCAGTGAAAATGGGCAGAGTGCTCGTTTTGTGAGGACAAGAGGGGGAAACTCCAGTTTAACTCTAGTTTGCGCCGCCAAATAATATCATATACATTTCACATTGAAAAAAGAAAACAAACAAAAAAAACCAAAACAAAACGGGATACAACAATGATGAGACTGAGAGCATGCAGCTAAAAACACACACGCACACACAAAGAAAAGGAAAAAACAACAACAACAACAACAACACAGGTTTAGAGAGAAGGAGGAGAGAAGGAAGAGCAGGGAGGCTCACGACAGGGATGAGACTGGCACAGAGCTTTTAACGTTGGAGCAGAATGCAAGCCAAGGGCAGGGGGGAAAAGGAGAAAAAAAAAATGGCCAGAACCAATCAGAAAGGACCCATCAGCCAGAGAGACCAACCGGGGGCATAAAACAGAGAGGGGATGGGTGGGTGGGTGGGTGGGTGAGGCAGGGGAAAGGAAGGGACCAGAACTTGGGGACTGTGGGAGGGAGTGGGGGGGGTCACAGGCAGGAAGGAGAGCTATAGTCACGGAGGGAGAGCGCAGGGGGAAGGGATTTGGGGGGGCGGGTAGGAGATGCATTAATAAAACCAGCCAAAGAGGGGTTCAGAAACTCTGAGTAAGATGTGCAGCGGGCAAAAATCACCAGGACACCATCAGTCATCAAACAGCTCAGGCGTTTACAAAACAATCGGTACATCCAAAGTCCAGGCCGCAAGACTCCACAGCAGAGAAAAGAAAAGGGGGTGAGGGGGGAGGGGAGCGGGGAGGGGAGGGGAGGGGAGGGGAGGGGTAGCAGCAAGTCAAGTCACATTTTTGTCGCATTAATGTGAGATGGCAGATGGACTTTATTTTTTCCTTTCTTATTTCATTGTTTTGTAATCACATTTAAAAAAAAATGGAAAAAAAAAAAGTGTCTTCTCGAGTGTCTTTGACTTCACTTACCGCCATCGGGCACCATCACCAGCACGGGGCATAGTTACCATGGAAAGAGGGGGGGCCGAGTGAGGGGGCCCTAAATGCTATACCATTGAAAAGGGAGGGGGGAAAGCAAAAAAAATATGCAGACATCTTACTCAAAATGGTGGCTTTCATATGGAATACTTAAAAAAAAAAGAGAGAAACCGGGAAAGGAGCCAGTTAACCTTCACTGCAGTCTGAGATGGGTTGCCCAACTCACCCCCCGCCCCCCACCAGTTATTCCAGCCTGCCCGCCAACCCCTCTGGAGAACTTCTGCCAATAACTGAAGTTCTTTTTTTTTTCTTGCTTTTTTTGCTTTTTGGGTCACACCCAGCGATGCTCAGGGGTTCCTCCTGGCTCTGCGCTCAGGAATTCCTCCTGGCGGTGCTCGGGGGACCCTATGGGACGCCGGGGGATTGAACCCAGGTCAGCAAGGCAAACGCCCTCCCTGCTGTACCATCCATTGCTCCGGAGCAGTAGCTGAAGTTCTTGATACTCAGCATCTTAACATCACAGGGATGGGATTTTTTTTCCCCCTCCCTCCCCGCTACCACCTCTGACGGATTCCTGGCTTATCACACCCCATGTGGAGGTGAACTGGCCTCCCAAGAGAGAGAGAGGGGGGCGGTGGGGGGAGACTGGCTTGCTCCTTAACGGGACACAATGCTATAAACCGGACAGTTTTCAGACAGGTTTTCAAGTTCGTTTAATTTTGGCCTGACCACGGGAATTCAGAGTCTGGCAAACTGAAGCAAAGGTGGGGGGGGGGGGGGGAGAAAAATCAAGAGAGCAGAAGGATGAACACGTTGAAGGAGGAAAAAAAAAAAGTAAACGAGAAACAAATCAACATACACATTCACCCAGGTCGGTCAACATCAAAAAAATCCCCCAGACAACATACGCCCCCACTCCCCCCACCAAAAAAAAAAAAAAAAACGGAAGGAGGATCGAAGGGTTAACTTTGCGACACGGTGAGTGCCAAGAAGGAAGGAGGACGGAGACACAAACGCACAGACACGCCAGCGCACACAAGAACAGGACAGGGTTCCAGATGGGAAGTCAGTGAGGCAACATACAGAAGAGAGAAATAATAATAATAATAATAATAATAAAAGAAAATGTAAACCAGAAATTGAATTATTGAAGACATGCACCTCGATTTTACGGCCCTCTACCACGGTGCCGTGCAATTTCTCCCTGGCCCTGTCTGCATCAGCACTATTCTCGAAAGTTACGAACCCGAATCCCTGCATGCAGCCGGAGAAGGGGGGAAAACATGCACATCGTTATATTGCAATACTGGTCTCTTGAAAAATAAGAGAAAAAAAAAATCATCACAGTATGAAACCGACATCAGCAACAACTCAGCAGTACTCCCCCCTGCCCGCCCCCATCAGAGTTTCGGTTCATGCACATTTCGGAAAGGGAGACCGATCCAATAAATAAGGAGCTAGAGTAGTAGGTGGTGATAATGAGAATCAGAATTTGATTAACGACACTGATAACAATAGTAAAATAAAACGGAAAAAAAAAAAAGCAATGTGAGGCCAGACCAAAATTAAGGTAGAGAGTTACTCAGGTTAAATTATTCAACCAAGAATCTGAGCACGGTCTTTAATGTTTTACCGTCTCTCAATTATGCTGTGAAGATACACGGCCCTTCAGGTAACCCTTAAATAATTAAATGGAGTTTTGACATCCTAGATCTTTGATTTCCCAGTAAGTTAAACATAAAACTTGATACTTAGGCACGATTATTATAGGATGATTTTTTTTTCCTCGTTGGGTCACATCTGGTGATACTCAGGGGTTATTCCTGGCTCTACACTCAGAAATTATTCCTGATGGTGCTTGGGGGACCATATGGGATGCTGGGGATCAAACTCAGGTCTGCTCTGTGCAAGGCAAATGCCCTACCCACTGTATTATTGCTCTGGCCCTCAAATGACCCTTTTTTCCCCCCAAAAAAAGGTGGTCTAATTATTTCAGTCCCTATCTTTTGTGGGCATTACTATTAATTCTTTTGAGGACAGGCTAATACAAGGCAGTTACTTCATGTATATAATTCTGTAGGTACTTGGTGTAGAAGAGGAAGAAACTTATGTCACCTAAACAAAAACGTCACTGAGCAGTGGCCCAGTCAATTATGATTCTTCTTCAATACCGATTTAAAACAACCACGTCGACTCTTATGTTAAAAACCGTGGTCAGAAATGAACAAATTCTGAAACATGGATGTCAGAACACTGTTTATCTACATTATTTGTTGGTGCCTACTTTTCTAAACATGAATAATTTTCCATCTGGAGGGAAAAATACATAGTTAACTGCAATAAAAATGAGATCTATGTTAGTAACATTAGCCGAACACTTATTCAACAGGAAAAGAAGAGCAGAAGATAGCAGGATGACTGATTGCTACTGAGTTGGAGCTGAGATTAGTGTATTTGTGCACTGATGCTGCCCTAAAAAGATGGGTTTTGAACCCCTATACAGACAAAGCAGAGACCACGGGGAGCCCGTTTTGCATTTATGTTCACAATTTATCTGACAAAACTCTTTGGGGGATACGCATGCTAGCAATTTCAAAAGGACCTAAGTAGGTTCTGGTATACTTCTACGACTATTTCGTAAAGCTTATTATCAGCTTTCTTCCAGGTGCTTTGTCCTTTTAACTTTCCACTCTGTAATGATTAAGTTTTCTTAACTCATTTACATCTGTAAAATGGGAAATTCTTATGATTTTCTGGGAAAGATGTCACTTCCCAGCAACAAAAACGCCCCTTTAGAATTCTTCGAATAATCTGAATCCTTTATTTTCATTCAAGTTCTACTTTGCTAATATCAGAATTCTCCTATATGTAAAAAAAACATGTTATTGAGATGGTTAGCAGTATGCATTGCTCAATCAGAAGATACTATGGAAGAAACCCCATGATTTCAAAGGATCTGATTACTCTTTTTTTTTTTAATTTATTTTTTATTTTTTTGCTTTTTGGGTCACACCCGGCGATGCACAGGGGTTATTCCTGGCTCATGCACTCAGGAATTACTCCTGGAGGTGCTCGGGGGACCATATGGGATGCTGGGAATCGAACCCAGGCCAGCTGCGTGCAAGGCAAACACCCCACCCGCTGTGCTATAGCTCCAGCCCCAAAGGATCTGATTACTCTTAATGAATATATGGCTGGATGCCCATGGACCATCTCTATCATCAATTTGGACAACAGCATAAATACTCTATGAAGAGCTAATCTTAAATAGATAGGAAATTTAAAATTTATGTCACTTAAGATGAAATACTGTAGGCGATTTTAGTCAATGTTCTGCTAACATGTACAAATGTGTTAAAAATATCAAGGGAACACATTTTTGGAAACAAATTTTGGGACCAACATGTCATAGCTGTTTTGACAACCTACTCAAGTCATCCAAGGACAAATTACTAACCATCCCCCTTGCCATCTATAATAGTATCTGTAGAAGATAGAAAGCCAGTTTGGCTGACCTTTAAAGAAAGGTCAAAGGTAGTGATAAGGTTTCTATCACATTCTAGAAGTACTGTGATCTATATTCAAATGTCTTTATACTTCTTACATTTCCTGCCTTGGGTTAAAACGAATAAATTACAGTTTAATAACAGGATCCATAGACACTGATACCTGGGCTTTAAATTTTAGGATGGTAACTGTAACTCCATACTCACATATGGAATTATTTTTTTAAATGCTTGTTTTTGAAAAGCAACCACGGGATGGAAAGGACAGCTCTGTTCACTGATTTTGAAAAGAAAGAAACTGAGGAATAGTGTTGCTAAGTACCCATAAACCAATAAGGCCTTTTTCGTCCCTTGTCGCTTCTCCCCACAGATAAAGGTGACAAAATTAGAAATTAAACTTTAAAATGTCAAGTCAGCATTCCATTTGCTCAACTACATTAATCCTCAAGTCCTTCTGATGGTTTTCTTTTCTTTTTTTCTCTTTCTCAAATCCAATTGCTACGTGTGTTCTGTGGCTTTCCTTTCATGGTGCTGACAGAATATCTGGGTACCATCACTACATAGAAAGAAGTCCGGGTGAGGTCATGGGTTACTACAGTTAGCAAGAGACAGTATTATTGCCCACAGTATTAATGTACCGTCTTCACAATGATTAACATTTTATTTTATTATTTTTTAAAAATTATTTAGTTGTTGTTGTTCTTTTTTGGGTCACACCCGGCGATGTTCAGGTGTTAATCATGGCTCTGCACTCAGGAATTACTCCTGGCGATGCTCAGGGGACCAAATAAAAGGTAAAAGGTAAAGGCCCTCCCGTTGATCGTCGATTTGCTCGAGCGGGCCCAGTAACGTCTCCATTGGAGACTTTGTTGTTACTGTGTCTGGCATATCGAATACTCTCGGTAGCTTGCCGGGCTCTCCGAGAGGGGCGGAGGAATCGAACTCGGGTCGGCCATGTTGGCTGCTTGTAAGGCAAACGCCCTACCCGCTGTGCTATCGCTCCAGCCCTGGGGACCTAATGGGATGCTGGAAATCGAACCCGGATCGGCTGCGTGCAAGGCAAACGCCCTATCTGCTGTGCTGTTGCTCCAGCCCCAGTGATTAACATTTTAGAGCAAATTTCACTTCCAAGTGCTCCAAAAGTGTTCAATAAAAAGTGCTAACTCTACGAAAGAAATACGCAGCGAGCTAGAAGCAACCTGCGTGAGTGTCTCTAGGAGGAAGAAGGTCTTTACGATGATGAGGGGCCTCTTGATAAGAAACCTAGAGGAAAGAGGACTTTCCCCCTTTTTCTTTGGGGCTGATTAGGCTTGTGGCAGACCAGAATAAGCCCCCGACTCCTGCCCCAAGCTGTCCCGTCCTGTCTCTGGAACCTGCGAATCCAACACCTTACATGGCAAAGGGGATTTTGCAGATGTGATTACATCCATGATCTTGAGCTAGGGAGATCAGCCGGGATTACAGGGGTGCTAAGCAGGGGAGGAGGGGGAAGGAGGTGGTCAGAAGGGAAATGCAGCCATAGGCCTAGATCTGGTTCCACAGACTGAAGCAGGCGGCAGGCCGAGGAACAAGGGCAGCCTCTTAGAAGCTGGCCAAGGCCAGCAAGTGGACTCGCCTTTAGCACATCCTGAAGGAACACAGTTCCTGGACAGGCTGATTCGGCCTTGGGAGACCCACTTCAGATTCCTGAGCTCTGGAACTAAAAGACGACACCTTTCTGTGGTATTAGGCCACCAAAATTTTAATAGTCTGCAGAAGCAACAGAAAAATAATATAGGCCTCAAGGTGAGAATATAATCAGTGTGCTTTTTTTTTAGAGTACTGTTCATAATTTAGTTTCAGAAATATTAACTCAAAGCTCAAAATATTTTAGCATGCACTGGGTTCTTTAATTTTAGAATTTTTGAAACTGTACCAGGATAAAAATATTCACAGGCTATCTAGGTTTATTACATCATTAATAGGAAAATATGTACATGAAATTTTGTTTTAATTACCTCTTCACCCTTAGAAATTTAATTTACATGGAGCTTAGAAATTCTAACTTCTTACTTTGGGAAAAAAATGAAGTGAAACAGTCTAAAAACTGGACATGTTTTCCTTACAAGAGCTTTAAAACGGTCAGATAATGTACCGAACAGGAAGATAATAAAAAGTCTGAATGACTACAAAGTAAAACCAAGATTTAATCCCAGGGCCAGAGAGACAGTACAGCATTTAAGGCACTTGCTTTACGCACAGTCAAGCCAGATTCAATCCCTGGCACCCCATCTGGTCCCTTGAGCACTGCCAGGAGTGACCCCAAAAGCAAACCAAATCTGGGGTCAATCCTTGGGACGTCATATGGTCCCCCAAGCTCCACCAGGAGGGACCCCCTGAGCACAGAACCAAGCAAGAGTAAGCCCAGGGCGCAAAGCCCGGTGTGGTCCCCAGAGCAAAAACAGACACAAAAAAGTAGAAACCCAACTGAATTTTAGTATTAGATTTGATTGAGCCCAATGCATACAATATAATACCATTTCTGCAGGACATCTGTGTGAAAACATGTGTAACGTTTTGTTTGCTGGGGCTCGGTCTTTGGGACAAGTGTGCTGTTGACCCTGAGACACGCCTCGATTTGGACCTACCCCCCCCCCCCCCCCCCCCCTGTTAACTCGGTAAGGAACTTTCTGGACTGAAGGGCAGGTCTGGAAGCTTCCACTGAACCCAGGCACTGTTACCTGAGCCCCCTGACCTCACACCCACTGT